AGCAGGGCTGCTCCAGCTCTGCACCACCCTGAATTCAGCTCCACCAGAACAGAGCTGCTGCAGGTAGTGTCTGGCTCCCAGGTAATGACTCAAGTGCTCTTCTCCACAGAACTCGCGCTACAACCTGCTCCTTCTCATACAATCCCAGAGGAATTAAGAATTGCTGGCCTTAAAAAATAAACTCATGACTTGTTGCAGCTTTGCACAGGGAACAAATTCTTCTTTTGAAGTTCAAGCACAAGTTTGAATGCGGGGAAAGGCAGGAGTGACAGGACAAGGGAAAAGCTGTCCCTAAATAATGCATTAACTGAGGCCTTGATACACAGAGCTTCAGAGCCCCTGCACACACACACAGAGTGTTCCCACTGCCTGCAACTGGCTGGCCACATTTCAGCTTGCAAGTTGTTTGAGAAACATAGGACTAAAGCAGTTGCTTTGAGGAAGAAAATCCTGTAACCAAGAGGGCAATATCTGGGCCTGGAGGTTCTGCCTGACCACAGCTCAAATTTGTTTCAGAGGTTAGTTTTAAAGCTAAAACCCATCCCCTCCTCCAGTGCAGTGTGGAGGGGACAGCCAGTGACCACACTGAAGTGACAGATGCATTATCCCCCTTGGAAATCAATTGCAGGCCCTGCTAGCAGAGGCTCCCCTTTCCCCACCATCATCCCCGAGGCTCAGGGGGGAGCTCCCAGATCCTCTGTGAGCAGGCAAAGCACCAGCCCTCAGTTTGGCTGCCTGGTGCTAAGCAGCACAAAACATGAGTTCTGTTGGGCAGAGAGCCTCAGTCCTGTGTGCAAGTCAGTTGTAGCTTCTTAAAAGTGCTGATAAAGACTTTTTAAATGTGTCTCAGATCTAAAGGAGAAATGGGTTTGGCATGGCCAGGCACTGCAGAGCTGTCCTGATCCCGTCCCCCTCAGGCTCTGCTGTTCTCACTAACGGTGTGTCAGCAGCCTGAAGCAGAAGCTGTTTTCCCCCAAGTGCTGCTTAATTAAGAGCAGCACAACACAAACCCAAAGCAGGGAAAAAAAGGTGCTGCCCCTCAGCTGGAGCCCCGAGTGAGCTTCCTGCCTTAGGGAGGGCAGGGCAGGAGCCGCTGCCGGCTGCAGACCGGCCTTGGCTCAGTCTGTGTCGAGGGCAGCAGCGGCCTCGGGGTGCTCCTCGCACAGTTTTGGGGTGCATTAAGCAGGCCCTGAGAGCTGGGACAGGCAGCAGGTCCCGTGTGGGACCAGAGGCCCGGCTGTGCACAGACCCTGGCTCCTTGCAGCCCCAGACCGTGCCCTTCTGTTCCTGCGGGGCGGGTCAGGCCCTGGCTGTGCAGCCCCGAGCACGGGGATGTGCCCGCGGCCCTGCTCCGGTCCCGGCTCCTTCACAGCCTCCCCCTATAACGGGAACATGGGGATCCAGCCTGACCTGGCTGCTGCTGGGACAGCCTCGAGCTGCCCGCGAACTCAAAGCTCCTCCTCTGCCCCAGTGAGGGCTCCTTTTAGCTCTGGTCAGCCGGGAGCTCTGGGCCAGAGCTGTGGGGGCATCGAGCTGTCCCAGCCCCGCACACCAAGCGACAGCCGTGGCCCGTGTTTGTGTCACACGTCCCGGTGGAGCTGTCAATGTGACAATGCTGTGCAATGCTGCTACAGGAGCCACGTGTCAGTAGTGAATGTAAATGGTCGTAACATGGTGAACATGGACACGTTTTCTTTTCAAATGTGATGTAAACTTTGTACAGTATAAATTTTTTTTATATTTTCTATGAACTGAGTGTCTTCCAGAATTGCTATTAAATTAATTACGAATTGTTAGAATTAATATCAGTTTCTGTATTAGTTTATTCAACCAGGAAAAAAAAAGTGCGCTCTATGCTACTGGAATTCTGGATATGTAGGAATCTTTTCAGTAAATAAATCTTTGGTGCGGATAAAGCAGGTGTTACTGAGTCCTGGTTTGACCTTCCCTCCCACTGACTGGTAGCCACAGACCCCGAGCACAGCAGTTCCTCCACCCCCTCTGCCCCCTGCCCTTCCCCTGTGGGACACCAGGTGATCTCCCCCTGCACAAGTCCGTTGCCATTGACAAAGTTTTCCCTCCTGGATCTGACGAGTCCCATTATGAGGTAATGAAGCCACCATGGAGTCTTCTCGAAGCACTGAGCTGTTTAAGAGGCTGCTTCCTCCCCCAGTGGGGCACTTGGGGCCGTTCCGGGACCCCCAGCAAATTCTCCATCCTTTGCACAAGGTCCTGCCACTACCTCCCACCTGCAGAGTGGGTCAGGGCTCCACAGACAGACCCTGCTCTCCACTCTGGGAGTGCCATTACGGGGTGTTAATTAATCCCAGGAAGGTTTTGCTGCTGCCAGCAGCTTTGTGCTGGGAATAATGGCAGCTTTGTGCTGTCCTGCCGGGAACGAGCATCATAAAAGCACAGTTTTACATCTCATCCATCTTATCTACATCTCACACGCAAACAATAAAAAAGTTAAGATAAGCTGAGCTTTGTTGTCTTTCATAAAGAATAAGAAATAACAAATTTAATTCTCAATTATACTGGAAGGGCAGAAGTGTTTAATATAACAAACCAACCACACAAATTCCAGTCCCCAAAGCACAAAGGCTCTGCCCCAGCCGTGACTGGAGCAGTTTGATGTTCCCCTGCCCAGAGTTGTACCCCAGAACTGCCCTGGGCTGCCCGAGGCACCAACACCGGGGTCCCTCTGCCCTGGGAGAGCCGCAGCAACCACGAACAGGAGCAGGCAGCACACACATCCCAACGGAGACAAAGCACAAAGGGAGCACTTCCAGCCCCAGCCAGCTGCACCACAGCACTCAGCAGCATCTAAACCCCCCCCACCAGGCAGGGACATTTCACCAGCCCAGCTGGGTGCTCAATAGCAAAACATCCCAGAGCAGCCACAGAAATGGGGATTCACTTAGAGGAGGCACCAAATAACTCACAAAGCACAGCTCAGGCTACAAATGAACTGACTGGAGCAGGATCTAGGAGAGCTGGACACACCACATCTGGCTTCATCCTCAGAGATCAGCCTGCTCCTCCCAGACAAGGCAGCAGCTTCAGCCCTGTCTCCCAGTGGGTTACTGGGGCAGGCAGAACCCCTCTGCACATGGCCAATACAACACAGTATTACACCAAGGAGAAGAAAAAGCCTTTCACCTACCTGTCCTCACTGTCTCCAAGGCCAAGAGCTCAGCAGCCTTGCACATCACGCCAGTACAAGCAGCAGCTACCAGGCCCTGCCCCACAGCCCTTTGCTGTCCCTTGTGAGCCCCAGGGGTTCCTTGTGAGCCTTGAGCATCCCTCATCCCCCCACCCCTGCCTGGCTCCAACAGCCCCCAGGTTTCCTGCATTTCCCCGATGCAGGGCCTGACCTTCTGTCACCTTCATGGACTTGGTCCACACGTTCCGTTGCTTTTTTCTTCAGTTAATAATGTTATGAAAATCAGGCTCAAAGTATATTCCAATGTGAGACTGCTCCCCAAAGCTCAGGGATGCACCTGCTGCCAGCAGTGTGCCTGAGCTGCCAGCCCAGGACCCTCCCAGTTGCCCCAGTTCAGCCCAGCACTAAGCTTTACCAGCACCCAAAACCAGGTACAGAACCAGGCTAAGAGCAAGGTCTGTCTGCACCTCAGTACCCAGGCACTCAGCCTGTTCTGGATGCTGGATTCCCTTAAAGCCATATAAATTTGGCTTAAGTGTCAATGAAATAAGCCACTAATTGCTCAGAAAGTGTTAATCTGTAACTCCCAGTCCAGTCCCAACCCAGCCAGGTGCACAAGCACCTCAGTAACCTAGCCCAGTTCCAGTTCCTGTGGCTAAAGTTGTCCTGAAGCACGTGTAAAACACACTGTCCACACATGGCACTGCTGACTTTTGAGTCTCAACTCTGCCTTCATCAGATTCCAGCTCCTGGAGACACAGGATAATGGGAAAATATCACCTTAAGCTTTTTTAATATGCTCATATAGCCTTGGTAATTTCAGAGAAGGAACTAGTTCTGCTGGAACTGCAAGGCCTAGAAAGAGCCCAAGTCCCAACACAATGAGGGCAGTTTTGAGCCAGTCTCACTCCCTGGTGCAAACTCACACTTGCCTGGCAATAACAAAAAGGCAAAACTGATCACAGACAGACTGTAACTCCTGGAGATGTCTTCAGCTCAGGGAGGAGAGAGCACAAACCCACCCCTCAGGACAACCTGAGAGCTGGCTTAGTTACCTCTGCCTTTGCAGGCTGGAGCCAAGAGCAAGAAGAGGTTTACTGATCCACACACTTTGTCTCAGTATAAAGGCAGATTTTATTACAAACAAATCAAGTAAACCAGAGCATAGAATTCAAATGTACAAAGTGCTTTGGAATTTTTGGAACCTTCCTGCTATAAGCTCTGTAACAACAACAGCTGAGGTTCATGTACCTGAGTCCCACAAAGCAGAATTCACTGCTGCTACCTGCTGAGCAGATACATCTGAGGTGGATGCAGCAGGTGTTGCCACTTGGGGACCAGTACATTATTACCCCATTTGCAAACATTGCTCCAGATCCAAGCACCTGGCCAGACAGCTCCCAGCAACACAACCATCCATTCACTTGCTTTCAAGTGAAGATAATATGCAAGTAAACCAATCTGATATAAATAAGGCCACAAAGATTAACAGTACATTTTAAAAAAAGATTTCAGCCCTAGTTAACTTAGTACAAAACTCTACATTTTCCTTGTATGTACAAAACCCACCAGATTTATACTAGCATAGATGGTATTAAAAAAATAATTTGCACCTTCACTATTAAGATAATGTATTAAAAGCATGTCAGAATAAATAGCAACAGAAGTTAAATTTAATATTTTACTTAATTAAGACTGAGGTTTAAGAGTGAAATCCTACAATCCTATACACATTCATGATTGAACAAGTATAAGAAGGAGGATTTGACTCTTTGTTTTTTGAAAATAACAACAAATGTGCAAATATTGTCTAAAACACAAGTGGATTTGGTCTTCAGCTGCTGGGTTGCAAAGCTCTTTTGACTTCATGTGGGAACACAGCCCCAAATATATCTTCATGGTATCGCTTTTGGCTCTGCAAAAAGAAAGGACACCCAAGAGGTGAATGAAATGCTGCCAGCTACTCCTTATCTATTTGTTCAGTAAATCAAAGGCCTTTTGCATTTGTAGCACTGGTTCTGTGACTGTAGACTTTTGTTACTGCCAGTGAAAGGGAGCTCCCTGAACCCCAGGCACAAACGCACCAGGGTGAGTTCTGATAACAAGAGGGTCTTAAAAAGCAGTAGTCCCAGGCACTGGGTCCTTAGTGATGGACCCATGAAATTCCTGAACTCACTTGTCCTCTCTGGATACAATAAAACCTCAAGCTCCCGATGTTCCCAACACTGCGCAAAGCAGATCCCCAGGAACCCCCCGTGGCAGGGCGGGGCGAGGCGGGGCGGGGCAAGACAAGGCGAGGCAGGGCGGGGCAGGGCGAGGCAGGGCGGGGCAGAGCAAGGCGAGGCAAGGCGAGGCAAGGCGAGGCAAGGCGAGGCAAGGCGAGG